GCTGTGCTGGGTTTCCTGGCACCAGGGGGGAATGATTGCCTGCCGACAAGGCTCATTGTTCATGGAACTTTCAGTAAGCTGGAAAGGAACAATCGCTGAAAAAGAGTATGTTCCAGAATGTAATCGCGTTGCCTGGGGCCATGACTACAGGGTCTTCCTTCAGGTTTAGGGCCATGCCTGCAGACTCTTGGTGCCACCTTTCTGGTCTACAGCGGGACACTGTAACATCAGGTGGTCAGTGTCCATCAGACAAGATGATCCTCTAAGTCAGGAAAATGTCGTGCTCTTACCTTAGTGTCTTTAGCCTCCAAGTGAGAGGAAAGTAGTTAGGTTAATTTGGGACGCTTGCATTAGGAATTGTAGACACTCCTAAAATGATGAACTTATCTGCAGGACAGGAAGACAAACAAGAGTGAGCAAAGGCTGAGGTCAAGTATAGAGGCAGAGATACCACGTTTCATCCTGCCTTGAGTTACCCATGGGACATCTGTGGGTTCCAGGGAAGAGTCAATGCTTCCATCAAAAGCAGCCTGTGAGTCCCTGGGACACTTTCAGCTCCAAGAAGTATGTACTGGGGTGTATGCCCAGAAGACCACACGCTGTCCCGTTTTCAACTTTCTGAGCGCCATAACATTTTATCCAGTGATGGCACCATTGGGCAGTCCTGCCAGCAGTCCATAGGTATTCATTTCCCACATTCTTGTCAATACTTGTCACTTCCTGTTTTTATTTCAATTGTTTCTTTGGTTTTTTACAAGTAATCTCTTTTGGAATCTTCAACAAACTTGTGGCCGCTTCTAAACACCATTGTATAGCAATGGAACTTTCACACATACACAGCAATGTTTCTATGAGAAAAAAAAAAAAACAGTTATCCCAGTCTAGCTGCGTCTTAATTTGACAAAGATCATTTTCAGCTTTGCATAATCAGCGAACCTATGGAATTACTTTTTGTGAGACTTGTGGGTCTATGCTCTACAGGACTTATTGGAGATGCTAATTCCCAGATCTGAGAAACGCCAGCCTAGGGCAGGGACCATCCATGTTAACTGGTGTTCCCGGTTTGAGCAAACACTGGGCAGAATCTAAATCGTAGCTCAAAATCTTTCTACCGCTGCCAAGCAGAAAAACTCTCTGAGGTTTCCAGGGTAACAGGCTGGAGTAAATCTGTGATTTTAGGCTTTCTACCTTGGTTGTCGGGAATGTATTAGATTAGCTTGATCATCATAAGGCAGGCATGGCAGGTCTCTCTGCGTTGGCAGGTTTGTGGGATGAGGTTTATCAAAGCTGTTTCTGAACAACCTCCTGAGAGCAGCCACCCAAAGAAGGGCAGTCTTTCTTAGATCTGCCGTTGTATGCGGTATCTGCAGGATTTCCCTTTTTGTCTTCCTTTACAGCGGACCTATAGTAAGACATGAGATGAAAGGAGAGAAACAGGAGGAGACAGGCAGGGAGGCAGATATGTCATAAACAATCCCCCACCAGCATGGCAGACTCCTCCCTAACACTCCCATCTACACCTTCCTGCTCCAAGACCCATGTGCCCCCAGCCAGTGCTGCAGAGCCTTGTGAAGAAAATCAGGACACCTCACTGTAATGAAGAAATCTACTTTTAGTCTTAGTATGAACAGAGGTTTGTGCCTGTTGTGTTGGCTAAGGTATCAGCAATAAAGTACTTTTCCTGTTGTCCCCCAAACAATACAATCTGCAGTACAAAAGAAAGAAGGAGAGAGAGAGAGAGAGAGAGAGAGAGAGAGAGAGAGAGAGAGAGAGATTAGTTCTGAGGTAGTCGCTATTCTTCCCTCAAAGGCAGAGAGACTTTGCAGAAGAAGAGGAAATGGCCAGAGGGGAGAAAGAGAGAGACTCCTGGAGCCTCCTGGAGGAAGAGAGACAATGTCTGAGAGTGAACAGGAACTATTACTTCCTTCGACATGGCTCTAATATCTCTCATCCTCTGAAGTTCGCCTCACGGCTCTGTCCGCCTTGTGCCAGAGTGCCCTCTGCAGGACACTGAGACAGGGACCTGAAATCCCAGCCTTGCCTTGCCTGTTCCCTATGCTATGCGTAATAAAGCTAGAATGGAGGAGGGGGGCGGGTGCTGTAAAGCAGACACTTCAAACTGTTCAAATATGCTTCTGGCACTTACAAGATTCTCAGGCCTTAAGCTGAAAATATGTGTTGGCCGAAGTTCCCCTCACAAATATGTTCCTTTATGTTTACAACCCTCGCAAATATCTTACTTGCTTGTCCACTCTTAGGAAGGATGTACTAGCGAGCCAGCCCTCCCAGCACTCAGTAGGCACAGCAGGGCTCCATCAGGGCTAATGTAACACGTCACGTAAATCAGTGGGGAAGTGAAGGCGTCTGGATGCTTGCCCTCACCATCCAGAACCGTGGACGCTTTTGGGTCCTCATAGTAGCACATCAATGCTGTGTTATGGAATCTGACATTTGGTTTGTCTTGGCGTAAACTCTGTGATAAAAATTGATCAATAGCCTCATTTTCCCTGCTTCCAGTTCAAACAGATACCCATTTCTCTTTTGAAGAAAGGGAACTATAAACAAACCCGACACTACGGTTTTAACTTAAACTCAACCTAATGCATGCTTCCAGAAGAAATGGATCACCTGCTTAGAGGTCTTTGATTTCACTTCCAGTACTCTTGCAAATTAGTAATTACAATGCTTCTACTTCTGAGGAAACTCTTTATTCTCCCTTAGCTCTCAAAGGCAATTGACTCGCATTTAGTAAAAGTCAAATATATCGATTTCCAGAAAATATATACTGCAAGACTAGCTTCTTGTATGCATGTATAATCTTCACTAAATACACAGAATATAAAATTACCTATTCATTCCAATCCTACGTTCCTCCCAAAGAAAGCCAACATTTCTATCGTTTAAACAGAAAGCATATGGAAACTCCACTAACTGTATGACTGTGGCGGTTTGGGTGCATTTTCTGTTCTGTGAATGTGACTCTTAGAAGTGTTTACAGAAAGGGTGGGTTCTGTTTATTCTTTGACAATTTTGTACTGTATATAATGTATTTTGATCATGTTTTAAACATTATGTTTACCTCTCACCTCCCTCTGAACCTATTTTCCCAACCAATCCCCTTCCTGCTTTTATCTCTTAAAAAAGAAAAAAAAAGGAAAAGAAAAATGACTCGCTGGATTAAATCAGGGTTGTTTGCATAAGCATGGGACAAGCATGTGTGGGGAAGCAAGGACACTCACCTTTGGTGGCATCACTGAAGAACTCCCTCCCCACCCCCAGCAGCCATTTAGTCTCCCCTCTTGGACTGGGACCTCCTGAGATCCTTCCCTACTCCTAACTGAATGTTGACAGCTCAGTCTCATGCAGGCCTGGAAGGTAACCACAGCTAGCTAGAGTCCTTGAGTGAAGCGGCCCTTACGTGAAGTCCCTAACAGTCTGCCCTGGACTTCTCTCCCACAGTAATGGGAACGTTTCTCTCCCCAGTCACAACATAATGCTTGCTTATTTCTCAAAGCTGAACCTATAGACCCAGCTGCGGTTTCGACGTCCTACCCAACTTGGAGCTTGAATAAAATTCGTCAATGCAATGGGCCTTTCTGTGCTTATAATTCTCAAACATATCAAAAACATTGAAAAGGTTGGCCTAATAACGTCTTTACATTTTAAAGTCTGTTGTCGTGGAGCCACAATTGTGTCAGTACCTTCTCCGTGTGGCGACCACATTCTTAGTAGAATAGTATCCTTGGGGTGGAATTGCAGTGTTTAGGAAACATAAGCTCAGAAATGGTCCTCATTCAGAACATATTACTTCAAACAAACTTATTTTCCTTGTCTTAAGTGCAAAAAGGATTAAGAAAGTGGGTTTTTTGTTTTGTTTTGTTTTGTTTTGTTTTGTTTTGTTTTTAACAAATAGCTAGGGCTAGAGAGCAAGGACTCAGTGGGTACCCCGGAAACCACAAGTAAAGGTGGAAGACCTAACTCCAGAAGTTATAGCCTGACCTCTGCTCAGGAGCCATGGCATGTGCACCCCCACACATATACAATAATAATAATGGCACCTAAATTCTTTTATATAATGTTAGACATGCAATTTATTAACCATGTCACCACAAGTCTATGTCGCTGGCCCCTGTGGTTGGAATTCAGCCCGTCATGAATCTGGAAATGTGAACACAGAGCTATAATAATGAGTGATCTGCAAGAATTATTCAGTTAGTTCACTTTACCCAGCTAGAAGGAACGAGCTAGCTTGTATACTCCAGGTAGGATATATGATTTGATCAATGCAACGCTTTTCAAATGTTAGTAAATATAAGGATTACTGGAAGTCATTCTGAAGTACAGATTCATGGTTCTTAGCCCCGAGGTTTTTAACCAGTTTCTTAATTAGTTACACTAGTCCCTGGGTACCTTAATTAATCACACTAGGATTCAGACCCCCTTCAGAAACTTTTTTTTGAGATTTTATTTATTTTTATTTTTATTTATTGTGTATGTCTTGCATGCACCCTCTACCTGCAGTACCCATAGAAGCCAGCAGAGGGTGACAGATCCCCCGGTTGTAAGCGTTCTGGCTGAAAGCTTTTGTGTGTGGGTGCTAGAAGCCGGACCTGGGTCTTTTGGAAGAACAGGCAGGGCTTTTAACCACTAAACCATTTCTCCAACTGCTGAAAAACATTTGTTATTTCATCTAAATTGCAATTTTTATTTGAACTGGAACTGCAGAGTCATCAAACATTGACTGGAGTGTCAAGATAATTTGCACAGGAAAGGTCAACAGCAATTAGAATCTGTACATTTCCGGCCGTATATTCCCCAACATGGTAGAGTACTGGCCCACAGTTTCGGAATTCATTGATGGTCAAGAGCCTTGTGGACTTGGAATTTTTTTAAATTATTTTTTAAAAACACTTTTACTGTCTTCCATATTGCTGCTAAATATTGTTATATTAAAACGAAATCAAACCACAACACTTAATCTATTTTCTTTTCATTTCAAGGGAAGACGAGGGAAGACAGGACCTCCAGGAAACCCAGGCCCTCCAGGACCGCCAGTGAGTAATGAGGCTGCGGTCACGTGGCAAAATAAACACTTCCGGTGCCGCCTAATTCCTTTTATTTCCCTTTACCCATGCAAGTGATTGGGCTATCAGCAGTGCATTGCTGTTGATTAATATTGGTTACAAGGAAAAACAAGAGAGCGTGGGTTGAATTGGATAGGATGTTGGCTTTTATTGCACTTTTTTTTGGTAAAACAAAAAATGCTTTGTACGATTTTCAGTAATTGCTTTGTGCTTTGAAGAAGACAGTGAGGGTGTGCTGGCAGGCAAGGGGAAGCCTTCCTGTCGTTCCTAAACACTTGACAGGGCCTCAAGACTTGTCTCTGAGAGAGAATCTAGAAGATGAAGGCATGCGCACTCAGTGGGCCCAAGGCCTGGGGAGAAGGTGAACATGCTCGAATCTAAGGTGAGGTCTGATAAACACATTTACTGAAGGGTTGGGAAGATTAAGAAATCCATGACCAGGAGAAAGGACCTGAAGCACTCTGCTCCATGGGTTTCAGTTTATTGCTAGAGTCTTTGGGGGAGGTGTTTGCATATTTTAAGTATTAACATTTAAACTCAGCTGTGGTTCTGATTCAGAGCTCTCGTTAAATCTTGTGTTTGAAATAAAAATGGTTTATGAACTTTTTAATATAATAAAAGAGCCAATTTGTTAAGGCTAAAAAAAAAAGAAAACAGTTATGTAGACTATAAACAGGTTTTATACGTAGGTCAGCACTTACTTAAGAAGAAAACATTGGGCCAAGCAATTGGTTCATGTCTGCTTGGTAGGTGTGATTTAAGGAGGCTGGTTCCTCTAAATGACTAAAATCTTTCCTTTCAAGCAAGCATCATCAAAACTCCATCTTAGGGTACCGTCAGTTTTCATCAGTTTGAGATTGTTCCCACCATAGGATGGATCATAGGATGTCTACCCTACTCACAGTGTAGCTGAGGACTGAACACGTAATTTTTCTAAACCCAAGGTCCTCCTGAAAGAGAGCTGCTGCTTCCCAAATGATTAGAAATGAAAAGCGTTCTTCATATTGAATCTTTTCAAGGTCATAATAACTAGTGTTTTCAATAACTAACTCATCAAAAGAATCTAGTTGCACCGAATTTTCACATTGTTCAAGAGTTTCACACACATTTATGGAGGGTCCGACTAAGTGCGTAACTGGAGGTGGACTTGAAAACCTGAAGAACACGCTGTCCTTGCCTTTTATGAGGTTCAAGTTCAGGTGAGAGCAATGTAGGGTGAGGAAGAGAACGCAGTGAAGATAACACAGATGGTTTCCTGGAGGAACTTCCAGCAAAGGATTAAGATTGAGGCTTGAAAAGTAAAGCAAATAGAGCAGGGGAGGGAGCCAGCTGGGTGCCCCTGAGGAGGAAGACAACGTGAACAAACACCCAGAATTGTCAAGCCTCCAGTGGGTAGAGGTGGGCTCCCTGCCATAGATAACTGAGGCACAGTCCCAGGCCAACAGGGATGAAGTCAAATCTTTGCAGGGTCCTGGCAAACCTCAGGGAAAGCTATGAAAGTAAACAAAGGGTCTATGCTGGAGAGGGACAAGGCCAGATTTCACTGATGGTCACTCTAGCAACATCCTGAAAGCAGATTGCTGAGGGCAAGTGAGACTCACTAGAGCTATTAGATTTACCGACCCTGAAGTCTCCACAGGATGCTTGCTGCCTCAGTGCGGCTGGCCCATGGAGCTGTTTGCATTTCATTTCCATATAGAGCTAGAGGTGACCAAGAGCAATCTACTCTATTTTTAAATATTTTTTGTCTTTTCCAGTGCTTGTACTCTGCATTACACAAGCCCTATTTCATGGCAGGGAATAAGACAGCTAAGAGAAAAGGTGGTAGGAGGCTGAAATTCTTCTAGTTGGGATTTGAGATGTTGTGTGATTCATCCCAGTGGCCCAGACTTAGAATTTTCTAAAACGTGTATAAGAATGGCTTGTGACAAGTGTGAATATAGAAACAAAACGAAGAAAAATTTAACTTTACCTCTAATCAAATAAATTAAACAATATGCCCCAAATAAATAAATAACTGAAGTATTTATAACACTATGTTTGAGTAGTTTTTTTTTTAAAAAAAAAATATTAATCTGAGTTAGAAAGGAGCTAAGGAATGCGAGTCTTCCACAGGCAAGCCTTTGAAGATAGAGTGTTTGACTCAATGTCCTCAAGAGAACACTCTCCCCTTTGGGGGATTCCGGGGTATTTGCTGAATCAAAGCAGTGTTGTTATTTAGGGCAGTGCCAGTGAACATGAAAGGAGCTGGGACTGGGAGGGAAGGTCTCTGCTGGCCTGCAGCAACTCGAAATAATTAAACTGCGGTAGCCCATCCTTTACCTGTGCCTCTTCTTCTGAGGTCGAATTTTTATTTTCTCACCTCCCTAGGAAATGTTTCAGCCAAAAGGCACATCATTTACAAGGAATAGCTTTCTATAACTTTAGCGTTAGCTAATGAGCTGGGTGCTGTGTGCACGTGTAGGTGGGCGCGTGCACACCCACACGCAGGAGGATGCGCGCAGAAAGGGCTGTATCCACAGAGCCATGTGACTAACATTTGAAGAAAATTAAATCTAGTAGGGGAAAAAAGCAAAATTCTAGAAGGAGGTATTGACTATTCTTGTTTGCTTTTCTGTTATTCTGATACATCTCTCTGCATGAAGGCAACTTGGGGAGGAAAGGATTTACTTGACTTACACATTCAGGCCACCATCAGGGGAAGTCAGGGCAGGAACTCAAGCAGAAGCAACAGAGGCATGGTACTGGCTGACTCACTCCCTGGCTTGCTCAGATAGCTCTCTTATGTAGCCCAGGCCCACCTGCCTAAGGATGGGGCCACCCACAGTGGGTGTGGATGTTCCCCCAAAAAATCATCGATCAAGACAATCTCTCCTAGACATGATCAAGACCAATCTAAGTAAAGAAATTCCTCAGCAGAAGTTCTCCACTCCCAGGTAACTCCAGGTTGTGTCTAGTTGACAATAATAACTAACCAGGACATTTACTAAGTCTACTGAAGAATGCTCCTAAATTAGGAGTCACTGTCTCAATGTCACATACGTTACTGCAGATTAGCTCACCACATTTCAGTTTTAGCATCAGGGGAAATTTATCTTTTCAGGGAAGATTTATTTGTAGTTCATATATGCAATCTGCAGTTGGTTACCAGGGCTAGCTCTGCTCACTTATGTGGGACATATTTCTTAAAATCACTTTTCATGGTTTTCTGTCAAGAGGCACACACACACATATGTATGTATGTGTATGGATCTGTATATATATATATATATATATACACACACACACACACACACACACACACACACACACACACACATACATGCAAAGGTAAATGCTTCCAAATTTCCTAAATGACTTTTGCCAACATGTCCTTTCATTCATTTCCCCTTCCCTTTCCTTTCTCCAAGCCCTCTCCAAACCCTCCCTGCTCTCCTTCAAATTCCTGGCCTCCCTTTTCATGTATTGTTGCTATATACATATAGATTCCTATATATAACCTGTTCAGTCTATAGAGTGCTACCTTTACGTATATTTTCAGAGCTGATCATTTGGAATTGGATAGCCAAATTTGTGTGCTCTTCCCTGGAGGAAGCTGTTTTTCTTTCCAGCATTCCTTAGCAGCCTGTAGTTCTTTGTGTCGAGTGGAGGTCCTGTGGTCTTTTCCTGTCCGATATGACATGTTTATTGTTGTTGTCCTTGTTCAGATCACTTTTCAGCTGTCGTATTAGTGAGAATTTACGGGTGTAGCTTCTGACATTCCTCAGAGAAACAGTCTCACAGCGAACTCCTCTGGCCCATACGGTCTTTCCAACCCCACTTCAGCGATGATCCCTGAGCCTTCGTTATGGGAGTCATGTGGTGTCAGTTGGGACAGGACTCCATCACTCTGCATTTTGATTGATTGTGGTTTTCTGTAATGACCTCCACCTGTTGCAAAGAGAAGATTCCTTGAATACGCTGATCAGTTGATACTGGAAAAGAATGTGTGGTATCTGGCCAGGTGGAGAGGTCGGATCTAATTTAGTGTTTGCTTTTGACCATGCCCACACATGCAGAGCCTGTAAAATCCAAGAACATTGTACTACCATCTGGTAAGGGCGTTCTTGAACAATAGCGTGGTGGGGGCGTCAGGATCCCTGCCTGCCACTAATTGTATCATGAGGACCTCACACTCATGGTCCCATCTGATACTAATTACATCCTCAAAAATCCCACCCACCTCCAAATACTGTTCAGTATGAATTTAATGGTTGAGTTTCCAATACATCAAATTTGGAGGACTCAGTAAACAAGAGCAGAAAGAAACCATTAAGTAGAGATATCTTAACTGAATAATATCTTCGGATGCACTAAGATTATAATTGAGAACAATTTTCCAGAGAGGCAAAGTAGAAGAACATTCAAGTCCCTCACGAAAGAAGTAAGTCTAACAGAGAAAGAAAGAGGTGCGGGGAACCCAGGAAGCTTGGTTATAGCACTAACGTCTGTGTTCGACGACATTTCCAGGGTCTTATGGAATCCTCAGAACGGCCTCGGAAAGTCAAAATTATCTTCATTTTGCAACAGGATAAGTAGGGCTTACAAACACCAAACACCGGAGTGCATGAGAGCGAAGCAGAATTCAGACTCGAGATTTGAGCCCCAAATCCACCTTTACTGTAGTTGAGCTCTTCCCGGTTACGTTCAATATGGACCAGCCTTACACACCCAAGCATTGTTTGACTTTTCTATGACAGTTCTTGACACCCACCTCATAGGAATGTAAGGTAGCCTGGGGTGTGGGGGTGCCATCCCTCTACCCTTGTGCAACCCTTTCCCGACCGTGCACCTGACACTGGTTTCTCTGTAAGTATGAAACCATAGTGCCCGCCCCATCTACTTCCTACGCTGGCTAGGGGGACCAGCTGCCATGTATGCGTAGGAATTTTCCGCTGTATGCAAGTAAAAATATTAAGATTGCTCTGAGC